TTCCAGTTTTGAATTTTGGCCCACTGTGTATTTGAGTTTGACACCCCTGCTGTATACTTTAATTACATTTTTGATTTTTTTGATTTTTACTCTTCCTTCTCTATGCAAATCCAGATGTTAAAGCCATCATGTTTCTGGCTAGTGCTGCCTTTTAATAATCCTCTTCATTCTCATTTTCTTCATTCATCGGCTTCTCAGGTTTCTCTCTGTCTTCTCAACACACTCTCTTCACTTGTTAGTTCCTTTATTAACCTAACCTGAGTCGATCTCTCCCTCCTCTCAGAAGGCTGGTATCTTTCTACTGCCTAACTTAGGTTTTCTTTCTGCTTTGGTTTTTGGATGACTTGTAGTTATTTTTAATTTCATTTACATGTGGGTTATAGGTTAGAACTTTCGTCCTCTTTCTTCTCAATTTTATACTTTATACTCAATGTGTGAATCCAGTATCATTCATATATTAATAAAATTACTTTTTTGTGTTGTTATGCCACATGCATGAATCTACAAGTTTCTGTTTTTCTGCAGGTATTTCTAAAAGCGAGCATTAAGTCTTGTAACACTCGGACATTCAGGGTGATGACTCAGAGAAGTGTTAGTGCCCGCACCCAAAGCTTCTCTGCACTCAAAGCTTTGAGCCAGCTGTTGCTGCAAACACCGCAGTGATGGCCGCAACATCCGCCCAGCATATCTTGCCTCACTTGATCTCTTTCAGCGGGCAGCTCGCAGTTGTTTTGCAAAACTTCAAAGAAAGCGAGCGCTGAGAAGAAGTAGTGGGTTACGTGCAATGAATTAAAGAAATGAATAGCGTGACGAAAGTGTGCTTGTAGTCGACCCGCAAATGAATATGAGGGTAGCACTTCTACACGTATCTACAAAATGCTGCTTTTTAGGGAAAGGATTAGCGGCATTTCAATTGGGAAAATTAATTTGACATACGAATAATTTGAGTTATGAGCTCCGTCACGGAACGAATTAAACGCATAAGTCAAGGCACCACAACACAATGCAAACGCTTTGCAGGGATGTTACCCAAGACTGAGACGCCTCCATCAACTATGAGTTATTTCTTAGCCTCCTTAATCTGTCCCTATAAATACCACCCATATTAAAATAATCAGAAATGCTGAAACTAATAAATATTAAACGAATAATAAATGAAAATAAACTCACCAACTGAAACTAGTGTCACGGACCCGGCTCTGAAAGACTCAGGGGTCCGTGAGCAGTGGTTATTGTTATTGTTATTATTATTATTACGACTATTATTTGGGGTCTGTGTCGTTTACTGTTCTGTCCACGTTTGTATGTAGAGTGCGTGTGTCTGCTTCTCTCTCTCCCCCCGCCCTCGGGGCTGTTTACGGAAGCGCGCGTCGTGGGAGAGGCGTGTCCGGGCGACTGTCGTCATCAGGAGTCCCTCTTTGCTGTTGCAGCTGATTACCCGACCAGCTGGTGGTAATCATCTCTCCCGGCTAGGAAGAGGTATTTAACCTGGACTCGCGGCGACAGTCGACGTGGGATTATTACTCTTACCGGTATAGTCTGTGCTAGGCGTGTAGTCTTGATAGTCGGCTAGCGTTTGTGGCTAATTGTGGTTTTTCCTTCTTCCTCCAGGAAAGTCGAGCGAAGAAGCGAGTTGGGGAGCACACACACTAAGGGAGCTACAGCACGGGACGCACTGAGAGCAAGGGATGAGCACCACTGGCAAATTACACCTGAGTTAATTGTTGGACTTACCTGTCTATTCACTGTAAATAAAGTGCACTGTGACATCGCAG